AGAGTGGGGTACGAATAATGAAGGAACCTCGTCAGCCTAAAAAGCTATTGGTTGGGCCAGTGTGAAAATCCAATTTTGTCTCTGGTGATTAATTGATTCTAAAGTGCCATCTCTGACTCCCATTCTGACAACTTTCTGATTTCACTACTTATAACACTTTCTCTACTAACTTATATTGGAGATTTTAAATAATTTTAATAAACATTGTGCATACAATATCTACTGCTAATGCTGATGAATGGGTGTTCCATCTATGGGAAATGCCTCAGCATTATATCAGTGAGCTGCGTTTATTTTTCTAGTTATGGTTATTGTTGCAATTAGTTATTCCCTGTGGAATAACCGCAACCGAGTTTTGAACATTTGATTGCAAGCGGTGCCATTAAAGTTTTTTTTTTTTTTTTTTTCTTAAGTAAGAAAAACTTAACGAAAAAGAAGTGTCTGTCCTTTGTGTTTGGGGAAATACAAAGAGAAAGACTAGGAAAAGAATCTAACATCTGAGTTGTATAGAGACCAAAAACTCCCCAATAAGCAGTAGGCACAACTGTGATCTACTACTTAAACCAAGAGACAAATTGGATTTTGTGGAGCCGTTTTTCTTTGTCATATGCTTTTGTGTAGCTTAGTTGTTTTCTATTGTTGTTTTGGCTCTCTGCTTGTTTGATTGCAGTATTGGCTTTCTTCGAAACATTCTTTTCTCATCCTTTCTGATAATTGACTTGTATATGCTGAAACTTGGTGGTTTTGCTTTTTGCAATCTGGTAGAACCATGTAAGGATTTTTGGTCTCTCTATTAGCTGTTGTATGTTCTGAGGAGTCTAATAGTGGGAACAACGGCATTTGTTTCTTTGCTTGTGTTTGCTTAGTTCTCTGGTCAGATTGTTTTTTTGGCATCCTAATCCTTTCATCTTTTACTGTTGGCAGTGCTTACACCACGTCACTAGGTCTGACGAAGACTGCTGGTCCAGCTGTATGGATCCTTTACAGAGGTAAGAAAAGATTCATTACTGGGACATGCAATCAGATGGTGTATAATCATAGTTTTCAATTCTCTGCTAGATGAACTCACTGTATGAATAGGCTAGGTCGGGCATATAACAGAGACTGAATCTCACATTTTTGCATTTAAGAAGCCAGACACCCTGCACTTTTCTGTTCCGAAGTGAACATAAAAGTGCTATTTTGTAGGGGGGGGATTAATTCATTACTGTCATTAATCAAGAAAAAAGTGTCTGAAAGATTGTTTTAAATTGTACATGGCAAATACGTGTTACAAAAATTGACACTAAAATAACTTCAGATCTGGTACTACAAATAGTTCATCTAAACCATTCTTATGGTCTTATGTCCTGTGTGCCCTACCCCTTTTTATTTCTGATGGGTAAGAATAAAACAGTTCCATTTGGTATATAAGTATTATCATCTGTCATGATATAATTGCTTTTAGCAAATGGTTACTTAAGGCTGACCGAATTCCAAGCAACTCTGTATTCATATGACAAAGCTGTTATGTTCAGCAATAATTGTACTGGTGCTAGTCAATACCCAGTCATTTTGATGGTCTCTTTTTCTGTTTCCCATTGGCTTTTTCGTTTTTTTTTCCGGCTGACAGGTCTCCTGCAAGAGGCCGGCAAAGAGGTGATGTAACGGATCGGTTGTCTCTGATACCCGGTGGTGTGGCTTGTAACCAAGTTATAGTTTGTCATGGGGCACAACATATAGTTTGGTAGCTTTAGTTAGTTTGCTCGTTCAATTGCAGCTTTTAACATATTCTTTGAGGCCATCTTCCCATCATACAATTTTCTTGTGCCATTGTGAATGTAGAAAGAATTGAGCTAGGGATAAGGTCCACCCCCTTTTCCATTCATCAAATTTTAGATATTTGGTTCCCCTCGACTCTTTTTGTGTGTTTTGGGAATTGAATTCTTTTATGTGACTGATTGTAAACGTGTATTATTCATAAAGAGTATATACATTTTTAGCATTACACCAACTTTGCCGCAACGTTGGTTAGCTTACCTACTTTTTGGTTGCCATAATAATCCCATGAAGAAGAAAAAAAAAAAAAAAAAACGAAAGAACAAAATGATATTTGATGAATTTTTTCCCCCTTAACCGTGTTTAAATTTCATGCACGTGGAGTGGAGCCCATTAATTTGAAAGGTGCAACTGAACTTTTTACCAGCATTTTAAGCATCTAATCTTTATAGTTCACTTTCTTTGAAAATTGTCGGCGATTGTAGCATCTTGTTCCCCAAAGGTTCACTTTAAAAATAAATAAATAAATAAATAAATAAATATATATATATATATATATATATATCAAAGATCATCCAAATAAATAAATAAACAAAAATTCAGTGCATGAATGATTCCAAATTAGGTGAATTTGAAATAACAATTTGGTTTTTCATCTGCGACAATTATTAATAGAAATTTAAAATAACTTCTTCACCTCCCTCATAATAGGCTTACCATTGCGATGTAGCTACCAAATTAGATAACTCCTAATTTTTTTACCAATAACTTAGGTCCGATCTATATGTGAGGAAAAAGAAATTTGGCGTTCGAAAGTTTTCGTATAGGGTCATGTTAGGGACGTCACATTATTAGACCACTTTGTAAATAGAATTTAATAGTCTGAAGATTTTGGGAAATTTCGATTTAGGGGAAAAAAAAAAAAAAAAAATTGAGGAGAACAAATTTTAGAGCTTCATTGACTTGACATGCTGATTCCGGGCCAGAATTTTCCGGAAGCCCAATTTCAATGGGTTTTCCGACCCTAAACGCCACGTGTCACAAAATGACCTAAATTACATGTAAATCCTATAAATCCATATGTGAGAAATTGTGTCGTCGTTTCAATATCTGTACGCACACCATTAAAACCCCTTCATAGCTCAATCAGAAAGGGGAAGAAACCCTTAAAACTCTTCCATATCCAAATCTTTCCCAATCAATTTCTCAATTACATTCTACATACACAACCCAAAACCCAAAAGATCACAATTTCAAAAAACCAGCCATTAATTTCTGGATCTCTCTCTAGGTTCTGCTTCTGCTGCCTCGTCTGCGGCTCTTTGCTTGTCGGTAAGTCCAAGTCCATTCTCCATTTCTCGTTTTCATTTTTTGTTTGAAACTCAGTCACTGAATGATATCTTGGGCTTCTGATATAGTTTCATATTTTCATGATATTTGGTTATATTTTATTTTATTTTGGTGGGTTATGCAACTTGTTTATCTTTTTCTGGGTTATTTTTTTTAGGTTGCTTGTGTTTTTCTTGATTTGGTTGAATAGTTTTTTCTTTGAATCATGATGACCCAGTTCGTTAGATTTTTCGGATTTTGCTGGGAAAGTAGGGTTTTATCTGTTAATCCTCCTTTGGTGTCTGAGGAAATTAGTGAAAGATTAGAAAATCTGACGGAAAATAAAAGAGAAGTTTCAATCGTTGTTCATGGTATTCTGAAACACACTCAGCTGGTGCTATTGAACTTAGGGTTTTCAACAAACTCTTTTTTTTTTTTTTTTTTTTTTT